AGCAGGCCATTCGTCATTCCTTGCCAAACAAAGTGTTCTCGAACATTGACAAAAGTCTTTTTGAACTGCCAAAAATTAGACTTTCTTAAGGCTAATTATGTGGAACACAAATTCTTTGTTCATTTCCATCAATAAAGGAAAGTATTCCGTCTGCCATTCGGCAGTCAGGGAAACGCTCAAGACTAAATTTTAGATGATCTATAATAGGTTGCCAGTTTGGATCAGTGGCATATCCTTCTCGAATCTTCTCCTTCAGATCATTTCCTATGTCTAAATAGGTGACAATTGTTCCTAAGAAGTCGCTCCTGCGTGAGAGAGCGTAAGCTACCACACTATACTTGCCCTTTGTGCTTTTCAACCCAAAATCACCCTCTATGCTTTTCAACCCAAAATCATAAGTGTCAATGATAGCTGAGTATCTGGCAAGCTTGTCAGTAAGATGAGGTTGCATCTTGAGCCACCTCAGAGTCTTGTGGTCTGAGTAAACTTTGAAGTGTCTGCCTAGGAGGTAGTGCTTCCAGGTCAATACGGCTTGCAACAGCGCGAATAGTTCTCTCTTGTAGGTTGAGTTTGCTACTTTGTCCGAAGGGAGTCGACAAGACAAATTCAATTCGTCGATAACCCTTCCCGTCATTTTGTTGCAGTACAGCCCCAATCGCATACTGACGACTTGTGTCAGTGGTCACAACGAAAGGTAAGGATGGGTCTGCAATTTTCAACACAGGATAGTGAATGCGCGCATACTTAAGCTTTGTAAACGCAGACTCATAGTCTTTATCCCAAAGCCAAATAGTCTCTTTCTTCATAGGGGCAGCTGTGGAGGAGAAATTCTTAACGGACTTCCTATAATAGCTGGCCAGTCCAAGAAAGGAGCGTAAGTGAGTTAGAGTTTTTGGCTTCGGCCAATCTCCTATAGCAACAATCTTTTTTTCTTCTGGTCTCAACCCATCTTCATTCGCAATATATCCTAGATATAGAACTTCAGACTTTGCGAATTCAAACTTTTACGGATTTAGTTCGAAGTTTCCTTCTCTCAATTTTTGTAAGACCAATCGCAAATGCTTTTTGTGGTCTTCTAGTGTCTTGCTGAACACCAGGTTGTTGTCAAGATAAACTACCACGAATGCTCTGAACAACTCGTTCATTGACCTTGTTCTGAAGGTCCTCTTGTGTTGATCTTCAGGGGCTACCTCAATCTAGTGATAGCCGAATTTCAAGTCAATTTTACTAAAGTACCTGCATCCTTGCAATTGGTCTAGAAGGCCTTCAATTCGAGGGAGGGGTTCAACATTCTTTACGGTGACCGGATTCAACCCTCGATAGTCAATACAGAGCCGTTATTCTCCTTTTGCTTTTTGGGATCAAACAGAACCGGAGCTCCATAAGGAGATGGGCTAGGTCGGATCCATCGTTTATCAGTTAGTTCCTGCAATTGCTTCCTTAATTCATCAAGTTCCTTTGGGGACATACAATAGATTGGTCCCTTGGAAGTCTTACTTCCGGGAACAATCTCAATGGGGTATGCTCTGTCTTCCTTTCAGTTACCCCCGTTTGTTCATTCTACAAGTCCTTATATTTGTCAAGTAGTTTTTCAATAGGAGGAGGGTAGGAGGAGGAACTTTCACAGACAGTTTTTACTAACACCATCATCACCTCCTGTGCCAACTTCTTTTTCACAACCATCGATCGGAATGCAGCGAGACTCGTACAACCGAAAGACAATGTAGAGTCCAAACCTAATTTGTGATACAGTTTGATGGCTTTCAATTTATTATTCTTGTTCTTAATTTCACAATTTTCTCTTTATATCTGATCTCAGGGTCTGCTTCCTCATGCCAGTCCATTCCCAAGACCGAATCAAACGGCAGGTTCTTCTCAATCAGGAATGTTACTTCATGCAGGATACGCTTACCTTCCTGTGTCCTAAATTAACACTCTACGTTTTCTGCACACTGGGAAACCGTGATGGTGCTATGATCTGGTAACGTAGAGACAATAGGCTTTGCTAGATTCTTCACTCGCATACCCAAGTGCATTTTCTTTATAG